ATCTTTTAAAATTAATTTTGAAATTTATGGAAAGGAACGCTTATAATATAGCCGGCGATCTTAACTAATTATATCATTTTGTAAGTAATAGGTGAAATTGTTTTGTCGAATATTTTGAATGCATTTTCACAGGATTCTAAATAAGATAGAACCTATGTATGTATGTATGTATGTATGTATGTATCTTGTCTTGTAGAGCTCTTAAAAAAGGACTATCTGTACCTTCGACATAGCAAACATCAATTAAGACAAGCTTTAAAGTATTTGTTCGTTTTGATAATTGTTGCACTGTGTGTATCAGTATATTTGAGCGATTTGTGTTTTTGTGTTTCATTTTTTTTGTTTTTTTTTTTTTTTTTGTTTTTTTTGGAGATTTCCTTCCTAAAGAAATATGTAATTAAGTCTATTAGGCGACATAGTTTGAAGAGTAAACCCTTGTTTACTTTAATTATAGCTTTTGTATTGAAATAAAAAAGTAAGTAAAGCTCTTAAATAGTAATGCGGTTATAAGCTTATCGCTACAACAACAACAATAAATTGAAGAGTTCTTATCTACAACAACATTTATATCAAGATAGCATTAATGCTTACCTACAAGCACAAGCTTATAGCAGTTTTATATAAAACGTTCCAATAACAGTGACAATAATAACGGTGAAGTAAACAGAAATTAAATAGACCACAACTACAATTACGCGTTTGCTATGTGAGAGTACGCGTACGTACGCTCAGTTAAATATTAAAACGCATTCAATGAAAATCGAAACTAAAGGAAAGCGCGATTTTATCTGAACCGCCTCCTCTCGTCCCCACGCAAATGAAGATAAGCAGGGCAGGGCAGAGCAGAGCAGAACTCCAGCAAAGTAAGAGAGCATTGCTCGGATTTGGTTCAATTAAATGAGAGTTTTGGATTGATTAGACACTTACACAATGATACATGAAAAAAAAAAAAAAACAAAAAAAAAAAACAGACGAACCAGAACGCACTTGAATCGTTCTTATTCGTTGTATAAGTAGCACCCGCTGTAAACCTTACACACATCTTACCCGTACAATCGTACACAGTTTAATACAAAATTTCGGCTTTGTCACGCAACAAATTTTTGAATCATAATAACAATATAATCAAAGAGTTTTATGTCATTCTAATACAAATCTCATAAAACGAAAAAATTCGTTTTCATTATTCGAAAGGGGGAAAAAAAAATAATATAATATTTAATTCAGATTTCGTGTTTCGTTTCTTTCGCTTCTCGCAGAATTTCAAAACGTCTTACCCGAAACGAATGAAGATGGAAAAGACTCCCCGTTATACACAACGGGAGCGTAATATGGTGTTAGGTTATGCTGCTCAATACAAGGACATCATTGAGAATAAACGTACTGATGCCGAATCAAATCGTAAAAAAGACGAAGTATGGCGCCAAATAGCCAAAGAATTTAACGCTCGTGTCTACCATCAGAGATCATCTAAGCAATTGCGTCAACTTTATAAAAATATGAAACTATTATTGAAAAAGGACTTATGCGGTGAAGGCAAAGGCAACCGTACTTTTATGGATCTATTGAATACGATATCACAGCAAGAGTCAGTCGCTCAATACATATCAGAACAAATGTCGCCGAACGGCTACAGTAGTGGCGGCAATGGTGGCGGTATTGCCGGAAGTGGAGGAATCGGTCGCCAGCAGAAATATGAAGACGATTATGACGATTCTAAGGTAAAGATTATTCAAAGATTTTTAATTTTTAATTGCACATGTGTTTGTTGTTCTCTCATCTGCTTCAAGCCTTTCAAATTTAAAAAATTTCATTAATCAGAAAAGTTTCAATGTACATTGAAAATGAATGGCGAATGGTGAAAGCACTCTTCCTATGTAATTTCTCCCAAAAAAAAAAAAAAAAAAAAAGTTTTATAATAATTGTGCCTAATGCCATCTCCAATAATATTTTGATCTTGCGCCAACTGTCTTTGAAATTTGAAATTTTTAAAAATTATTTTAGTGTGCGTGCGTATTTATTACAAATGAAAACATGCCCATGCATTTGTGTTGCGTTCTTATCCTTCTAATAATTATCGCTTTTTAATTTTTCCGCGTAGTCAAAAAAGCAAGCCCGCCTAAATCGGAGCGAAGAGCGGCTGCGACTGTAATCAAATTCATTATTCTTATTATGTATCTTTGTTTTTGTCCCTTTTATGCATTTTGCTGCAGCATCATCCACTTCATTTTAATGATGCCATGGATACGGATGTCATTGTCATAAAATCGGAGGATATCAGCGATAATGAACACTCTCAGGGCGATATGGATGATGATGATGATGATTGCCTAAGTCCCAAAGATATACCGGAAGTGTGCTTAGAAGAAGAAGATGAAGAATTATTTGCTACCGATTTACGACAACAAAATCAATCTTCATCGCATCAGGAGCAGGAGCAAAAATCGCATCGTAAACGTTCACTTTCGCAGAATAATTTACAGCAACAGCAACAACAACAACAACAACAGCAGCAACAGCAATTGCAACAACCCGAGGTGACCATACAAAATATAGGAGGGATTCGTGTAGGGAGTATCGGGAGTATGGCCAATATGAAAGCGCTGCAAAACGGTGTTGGCAATAGCAGCGGGGGAAGTTCAACTGCTAACAATTCGGCAACTTCAGCGGCTTTAAGTTTAATACAACCATCGAACAGTACGCAGCAGCAGACAAGTGCCCTAAATTTGCGACAATCCGCCTCCGAACAACAGTTACAATTGTTAAATGGATTGGGTTTGAGCGCAGTACATCCGCCAACGTCATTGCCAGCAGTCCGCTCGAGATCACCCTCCTCACAATCTGCTTTAGAGAATAGCTCGCGTTTGCCATCGTTACACCGAACCAGTGGTGGCTCACTGACGCAAAATAATAATTCTAATACCCCACAGTCAGCATTACATTCAAATTTAAATAGTGCTGCCCAACAATTGCTGCTAAACATTAACGGCGTTACGGGCGGGCATTATAATACAACCTCTAATCGACATCATCACAATCATCATCATCACCAACATGGCCCACCAACGCAACACCACACTTCTACGCCTGCACCTTCATCCCATAAAATTTCCCAAAATGATTATTTTATGCTCGGCATTGAAGAGCGTAAGCTTAAAATTGAATTGTTAAATGCGCAAATTGAATATTGGAGAAAATTAACTAAGAAATTGGACGAGAATGCGGGTCTGACACCGAATCCTTCGTGTATGTGTCATTTTCCTGGTAAACTAAATGGCTTACAAACACCTGCTTCAACTAGCTAGGAGGAGGCTTTAGGCGCTAATAACGCTTTAGAACGCGAAGTCGATGAAGAATTTGAAATAATACCGGTCGATGAGCCAATAGAAGATGAAGATTCGAGAGATCAGCATCTAAATATGTCAGTTGATGAGCAGCAAACGGAAATGGAGTTAATAGAAAATCGTAATACAATAGAATGGCATGAAATTTCCGAAAGCGAAGAAGAGGACAAAAAAATATAAAGTATTTTTATAGTAAAGCCGCCAAAAAAGATAAATAGAAATAGATATGAGGTTAGAATTAAAAAAACGCAAAACCGAAAAGTTTTTGTTTATATGTCTGTAATATGGAGCCTTTCTCTAGTTTTTAATTTACAATTTTATAAAATATTGAATTGCTGGGTTTATTTTTTATTTTTATTTGTATTATTTTTTTTTATTAATGTGAATTGCATCCAGTGTGTCATAATATTGTTGTAAACGTACAAAACGTGGTTCCTAATCTAGTCTTTGAGTTGTATTCGCTTTTTTTTTATTTTTATTTTATCAATAATTAATGTAACGCATAAAATCAATGTATTTAAATTAAATCAATATTTACCAAGCAGTTCATTAAAATACAAGTTTGCTATAACATTTTTGCTTATTATTTCTAATGTTTACGTATATTATTGAATTTTTTTTTTTTTTTTTTTTTTTTTATTTGAAGGTGATAATTTGTTTTAAACCTTGACTTTTTATATAAAAATTTTGAATATTATAATTGATTATCTAGTCTTTGTATATAAATTTTATAAAATGAAATTTTTACCAACTCATAAAAAAGAAATGAGTAATAAAAGAGAAGAACTCTTATAAATAACTTTGTTTCTTCTTTTTTTAATTACTTTTCAAATGAAATTTATTCTTGATTAATTACATTTTTGTCGTTTTTGTCAATTCAAACGGAAAAAAAAAGAAAAACAAATGATTTAGATACTTAACAGCTCTGTCTTAAAAGAGCAGTTCGTTATTTACTCACAATAAACAGCGGCGTTGTTGAGCTTCAAAATAGTAGTTCATTTAGGTACATTTATTGTACAACTGTGGCAATCAGTGACTAACTAATGCGACAACAGACTAAAGTAGAGAAAGAAAATTTTTCGGTGTGTTCTGTGTTTTTTTTTTTTTATTAAAATTAATTAAATTATTTGATGAGATATCTGAAAGCTAAAAAATTGGTCATCAGTTACTGAAAATATAAATTTTATTAAATTTATCAAATGTTCGTAAAAGACACAATGTTTTCTTGATTAAAATAAGAAGAAAGTAAAATCTTCCAATTCAGACAAAGCAGCCTATGTCTACGTCGCTGTTGTTTTAGTTAAATGCCGGCGTTAACGTCTACGTTTAACGTATTGGTCGGTCAGTCGGTCGGTTAATGTTTGTGCATTTTAGTTGCAAAAACGGTCAATAAAGCGTCTTAAGTGTAAAACAATACAAAAAAAAAAAAAAAAAAACAAAACTGGATTTGATTAAATATAATATAAAAGATATTTAAAAATTAAGAACTTAGAATCAAATCTTTAAGTGTGGTGAGTGTTAAGAATATATACAAATATTTGCACTTGGGTGTGCGTGTTTGCGTATGTGTGTACAAGTTTGGCTATGCAAAACATTTTATGAAAAAAAAAAGAAGAAAGCTACAGGAAAACTAATTTTTTTTCTTTTGCTTGAATGGGTCGTGTCCCATCCGGTATAATATTTTTCTTTCCTGTGTATGCTTACGTGTGTATGAGTTTAGTAAATTGTTTCTTTTGTATTTTGCTTTGAAGTGACTGTGCATGTTTGGGATTTTGTATTATGTTTTCTTTTGCTTTCTTTACTATAGCGCATACTCAGTGTTTAGAATTTTTTGTTTCAATAGCCTTTTGAGCAAATACAACAATAGTAGAATTTTTCATGATCTGATTAGTCTTTTGGTGACAAGAGATTATTACAGAATTTTCGCTGATATCTTACCATGGCAAATTCATATAAGAATTTTTTTTCTTTTTCATGTCTCTATCCCGCTCATCGATGTCTATAAAAAATTCGTCGTTTCGTTTGTAGCGTGTGAGGTTTAAAATCTGTCTAGTCTCGTTTTGTACTCCTGAAAAGCGTTAAATTTAAAATCAAAATAGATTCTCATTCGATTTCCATAAATTAAGTTTAAAAATGGACATGTGTAGATCACGAGCACGCTCATAACAATGCTGAAAGCCAAAGCAACTTCGGAAAACTATTGAAAAATTCAATATGGTTTGATCAGTAGACTAATACACCGATTTGAAGTTTACTAAATCAAGTCAAATGCGTATATAAATGCGTAATGGGTTCGACTGATTTACGTAGGTCCATAAGTGGCTTCAATAACAAAAAACTACGCTGTTAACACTCATCACAATAGGTAATAAAAATTCGTGCTAAAACGAAAATGACTTCTTCTGTGTGTTTGCCTTATGACCATGGCCGTGCGTGAAAATATGTATGACTGTGTCTGTCTACTTGAAGCGCACTTTTTCGCATTGCAATTGTTACAGTAATTGCCATGAGGTTTCAAAAAATCACATGGCCTCTTCGCACTCTATCTGTCTAGCCGGTATTTTTTTTATTTTTTTTATCATAAGTCTTGAACCCACTTGCATCGTAATATCGCGAGACGTTATATAAGCACGTATACGTTTGAGATGTGTCAGACGGTTTTAAAAGCATTCGAGAATATTTTAATTTTTCATTTCTAATATTTTCATTTCGCATGTTGTATTATATATGTATTGTATATATATACATATATATGTGTTGTTTATGTTTATGAGGGGATATTCTTCTCCATCTTTCTCCTATTAAATATTATATTTACCATCTAGAGCAATGTTAGGTATAAAAAAAAAAAACTGACAAGAGATTCAATTCAAAAATATTAGATGTTTCCAGGTGGACAGCAAAATGGTTGCACGTGCGCGAATGAATGTTTCAGATCATCATCTTGATGAAATTTCTATAAAATTGGCGAATTTTCTTTGACATCCAGTTACCCAAAACTTTTTATGTACAAATCTATCCGATAGACTCTCAAAAGAAGCAGCCCCATATCGTAAGATTACTTCCGACATGTTTCTTCTTCCTTTAACAAATCTAATGCGGAAATTTTTGCCTTTTGACCGAAATACTCTTGTTAACGCATCATATCCAAACAAATTAATTTTTGCTTCGTCGTTCTAGAGTATATTTCTCCGTTTTACCTCGTCTTTTAGTCTGTATCAATTTTTATGGGCTAAAGCAAAGTCTTTTCTTATCTCGAAATTAACTTTTCTGAGCAAAGGAACTTTTCGAGTTATTCTTCCTAGTGCATTAACACCTGACAAACGTCAACGAACAGTTCAAGGTGGTACAACATTCCCAATCTTATTGGAAATTACTGTAGACGACTTGATCTCGCTTTTCTAAAATTATAATGCAATTATCGGAAGCAGAAGAAGCATTTTTAACTGCTTCGCGATACCCAACACTTTTTTTTTTTGAGAGGCTTAAAGCACTCGTAACAAAATTATGTGACCGACCTAATGATACGGCAACAAAATTTGTACGTTTTTCCCGGATTTCGAAGCTGACGACCTAGGCGTCGCCTTTCGTGGCGACAATTATGTGCTTGACCTAAAACTACGATTTACCTTCACAATCCATTTTTGCAGCAAAATTTTGCGAAATAGTTTGCTTTTTACAACACGTAAAGAGGACGCACCTATTTGACTGGCCGTCAGCTGAAAAACCTACCATAGGAACATAAAAGCCCTTAACCTTTTACTTCACGTTGTAGCTCATATACCATTCTGGGAATTAATTGTGAACATTCTTGCCACATGTAACAACGTTATACGAGCTTTGCGGAAGCTACCTTTCACAATTTCTACGGCATCGAACTGAAAAATGCACCTCGCAATTATTTTTCTGTCCACGAGTGTATGTACATTAAAAAGTTCGTTTTCATCTATCTAATAAGAAATTTTGTTTTCATTTCTCTTCTTTTTTTTTTCTTCTTTTTTTTTGTTTTTTTTTTTTTTGATGTTACCTTTGCAGTCTCATTCACATCTCACCATAACTTTTATCAGCGTGTTTGGAATGATAGACCGTTGAGTTCGGCATAACGCCCACTTAAAAACAAAATTAGTAACACATGCGACATCATTATGCGTTTTGCCATTTTTTAAATCGTTTTAATCTTGTGCCATTAATGCTAAAATCATTAGAGAAGCAAGCAGCAGCATAACCACCGTTTGTTTTTCATCATCAGCAACAATGAAATTTTACTATAACTGCCAATAGTGAGTGTGTGTCATCAGCAGCAATTAATATAAATTTGTAGAAGTCATTAAAGAAAAAAGAAAAAAAAGCAGCTTCAAAACGATTCATCCATCATAGATAAAAGAAAGTAAAAGGTGATACGAAAAGTACATCAAATAAATAAGCAAACAAGGAGCAACGCACACACAGAAATTAGAATTACATATATTATAAGCATATAAGTTAAAACGTAAAGTTACTTCGACATATGGGTAACTAACTTTTGACGGGTCTGCTTTTGCTCTGAAGCTTTAAACTTAAATATTAAAATACATATATATATATATATATATATACATAAATTTTCTCATTGTCTGTCCGCGTCTTTATTATTGTACATACATACATGTGTGATTTATTGTTTTATAGAAAAAAAAATCAAAATAACGTAACGTAAATATTTTCGTAAACTTTTATTCTCCTCTTTTTTGTAGTCATTATTCCTATCAGTATTTTTCTATTTTATTGAGAATAAGTATAAATATTTATAGTTTTGCTGTTGTTGTGTGTGCAGTTGATTCTGAGTGTGTGTGCTTGTGCGTGTGCGTATATATATATATATATATATATATATATATATTTTTATTTTTTTTTTTTTTAAGAATAAAGTACAAAAGAAAAATTATTCAAAATTTTACCAAATATTTTACCGTTACCACCAAAAATGGCAGATTTAATGCGTCTGGGCACACACACGCACACACACAACGTGGATGTTGTCATACAAAAAGATAAACTTGGTTCACCGAACGGTTCAGATGATGGCAATTTAGCTGGTCTTGGTGTTGGTGTTGGTGTCGGCGGTATGACTAATTTTGGCGGTATGATGGCAACTGGTGGCTTTGATTTAAATGATTTAGCACAAGAATTGGATCAAGACGAATTCGATGGCCTTAATATGATAAATGGTGAGTACAATGAAAGCATCAAAAATTTCATCTTAATTTCACTCGCATCTTAAAATACAAAAAAAAAATATTCGTAAGAAATAAAATGAACTTTCGTAGATATTATTTTAAGTAAAAAATTTTTTAAATAATGTCAGCAATATTTAATACAAATATCTTCATTGTTAAGATAAATTCGCTTTTCTAAAAAAAATTTCCCAAAATTACTTTGACAATTTTTTATTAAGATTTAAGAGAATTTTTTAAATCTTGTAATAATTTATAATTTAGTTCAAATGCTGGATATTGAAAGTTCAATTGCCAAACATTATTAAATATATAGGAAAAATAGTATGAATGAAAAATTATCAATTTGTGCAACGAAAATGAATGAAAATGTTTTAAAAAAATTTTGCGAAAAAAATTCATTGGATAACGATTGCGACACTCTTCATGGAATACAAGAAATAAGTAACTTCGGTTTTTTCCTTCTTTTTCTTTTTTTTTTTTCTAATGATGTTTCATTCGCATTTCGTGCATTTCGTGCATTATACCCGTTTAATGGCGGTGGCGACAATGATGGCGGTGACAGCGACGGCATTAAACTCTTAAGTGCTGCATTTGCATGCATGAAAAAATAGAACATATCCAAGGAAGCAAGCAAGCCAGTCGAGCAAACTTATTCAACAACATAGACATGTATTTAAATATTCGCATAGAAATTATCATTGTACTCATTGTACATTTAAAATGTTTGGAAAAGAGAAAAGAAAACAGTTATATCAGGTGTATCAGATACATCAGCTAAATTACTTCTAATTATCATAGAATGGAATTGGTTTCCCGGGAAGACGATTATGGTTATTTTGCTGCGAAATAAATAAAAAAAACCAAGTGCAGGCATTATAGTCCGGCTAGACCAACTATTAAATACACTGCACTACATTGCCTAACATAATTCTAA